CACTCATGATTTTTTATTCAAATAACCAGTTTAATTTTGTCTATTATGTCAATAAGATAAAAAAATATTATTCATCAGTATGTAATTTGTATCTAAATGTAATTTCAAGGTCATTCGGGTACTATATATATATATATATATATATATATATATATATATATATATATATATATATATATATATATATATATATATATATATATATATATATATATATAGCTCTGTGGTAAATTTCAATTCGTCAACAATTTTTGTAGCATTTGCCGCACTATCTTCACCGTTTTGGCTGTCCGCAGCTTCTAGGTCGCTCATTATGGGTCTTGCTTAGTAACCTTGGCAAAATAAAACTATTTTCACAGTTCTAACACAGGTTAAAACATTAAAAACTTTACAAAAACACACAAGCAGCCGGTTTGTTTACATTCCGTGGCGCTGGAGACGAAATGACGAAGAAGGAACACGTGACTTATTCAACTAATCAGAGCGCAGATGGTGTTTGGTTATTGCTTACTTATTATTTTACGCGTTAGTTCGGTAAGTTTATCAATTTACAAAAATGTCGGCGTAAAATAATACAATTTATCTGTCGTTTAGAATTCTACGCAGGTTTATAAATTTCCTAGGAAATTTATAAACTTGCGGAATAAAATCTGTAAGAGATCAATTATCAAATCAGCTTAAAGTAATTATATGGCTGTACAAAATTTTTGACGGTTGTATATTCTTACAAATTTTGAGGTATAACTGACGAGAAAATGTGTCGTAATCTCCGACACACCAAATCGAATGCTGCCCACCCGAGTTGATTTCGTCGATTGACCTCTCGGTCGAACCTAGTCGGTGTAATTGTTCTAGGTAAACATACTCGTCGAGAACTTTCGAATGTAGTACTCCTGACAACTAGTGACATGGATTTTGTTTTGTTCATGTTCATCTTACAGCCTATCAATTGGGAGACACTATTAAGGTCATAAAGCATAGTGCTAAGGTCCCTCAGCGATTCTGCCATAACGACTATATCATAGGCAAACCAAAGGTGACTGGAAATGGAGGACGGAATTGAAGAGTTTCTCAAGGACTTCAAGTACTAGTTTTTCACCCGCTTTCAGAAGCTTCACTGTAATTTCGTCCTCGCCCGAGGCCTTTCCGTTTTTAAAGTGCTGGAGAGCCGTTGTGATGTCGCTCAGACTAACATCTGGGATATTATCGGAATAGTGTCGGATGAGACTTACATTTTGATCGTTGCGTGTGTGATTCTAACGATGATGTGTACACTCCGTAGAACCTCTCAATCTCACTCAAAATCTCAGGTGTCCCGGAAACGATACTACATTCGGCCTTTAATTTCGACAGTTGGCTTTTTCTAGCAGACAGATCTCTGGCAAAGGCTTTGAAGCCTTTGGTTTACTCCATCGCTTCTTCAATACGAACCGTATTGAAGTTGTGTAAGTCTCACCGCATGCATTTGGAGATCTGTCTATTCATTTCCTTGTATGCTGTCATATCTGCTGAATACTGCAGCTTCATTTCCCGTCTAACAGCCAAGAGATTCAGATTGTGGTCGGAGAGTTTTTGGATTCTTTCGCGACGGGTATTGCAGAACTTAGCTCCAACCGCATAAACAGTTTCCACGAGCTAGAAAATGAGCTTTTGGGCTTTGAATTTGAGCACGGGGAGACGGAACGTTGACTTTACTAGATGTTACTTCTTTAACTCAACGTTAAGGTTCAATGTGCCTCTTACCATTCGGTGATCGCTACCAGTTTTCACCCTTGCGATCACTGTGACATCACTAAATAGTTATTAATATTTACACTACATACACTCTTTACCTCACGACGTAGCAAACTAAACATACAATGCATTGTTTCTATTCCTGAATTTAGATCTAGAAAACACTCAAAACCTTGTTCTCATTAATTGTTTAAATAAGGTAAAATTATTCAGAGATATAATAGAACACGTTCTTTTTGGAAGGTTTTGAGGTCAGAAACGGCATAATTTTAAGAAGATTGTGAGTTCTATCTGTTTCACATCGCTCGCTCCTTATCGCCGTCGTGCGATAGAGAGAGCTGCAAATGTTGGAAGTAATTGCCTACATATTCCTTTTAAAATATTGTTTCGAGCGATAACGTTTTCACCCCCCTAAAACTTTACGAAATGAGACAATTTTGGTCTAATTAGAGTGAATCTAACTATAACTTAATTTAGGTTTGTACGTTTTTCTTTTTTAGTAATTCAGTTTAGTTGAATTAAAAAAATAAATACGCTCGAGGAAGTTTTTAAGTCAAAATTATAGATATTTAGATTCTAAGAACTTATATCGTACGCAATTTTTCCTTAAAATAAAAACTTATAGACCTAGTTTTTCATTATATCTACAACATTTTTAAAAAATTATGAAAATTATACTATGTTTACGGGATGGAAAACGTTATCGCTTTTTGTTTACGGCTTCAAAATCCTCTTAAATCATGTGAAGTAGAAAGAACTTATTACAGATTTAATTACAAAAATTACTATTACAGAAATGAATATCAGGCTGAGTTCGAATACCTATTATTTGAAAAACATAATATAACAAGTTTCGAAGTATTTAAAGTAAGTAGGTTAGTGTTCAGCCACTTAGCGATCCTAGCAATGTCTTCTTCAGTAGATCTACGAATAGAATCCCAAGAATCACCAGTAAACATTACTGCAGTATCATTTGCATAGGAGATTATGTTGCCCTCGTTAATGTCCATGTTGGTTAGATGCATAGATATAGTATGAACTCCTGGAGTTCATACTAAATCTATGGTTAGATGATTTATGTAGATTAAAAACAAAGTGGGAACCAGGATCCTGCCCTGTGGAACTCCGAGTGTTATATCTGATTCATCGCTTAAATATTCACCTATCTTTCTGCTTGTGATACTTAAGATATTCTTTAAATAATTATAAGTGAGTACCCATTATACCTATATCCTAAAGTATTGATTTGATTTGACAAGGATTGATTTTCCATATTTCCAAGAGATCCTCTTAAGCGGCAGATTTCGATTGCAGATTGTAGAAATCATGAATCTTGGATACCTAAATGGACTTGCACCATTTGCTCCGAACATTTTGATAGATCATATTTCATACCCCAAGTTATCAATAAAAGAAGGTTAGCCGATACTGCTGTACCAACCTTGAACTTGTGGGAGGTGATGTCTAGCTGTAATTATATCAAAAGATAAAATAATTTTATTATCACCATTGACATCAATATTATTCTTCTTGAAAATATTTTAGAATTTCGGCAAGTTTACAATTATGACTTCTTATATTTACGAGAACACGACACATTAAATGAAACTAATTTTGCGAATTTTATCGTGTTGAATTTTGACTTTTGATTCCCGACGTTTCAAGTGCTTTACAGTACGAACTTTCATGTCGCGCCTTTGAGAATATACGGCACGTGCTGAGGCGGCGCGGCACATAAACGACCGTATCTAAGTAAACAGACGAAACACCAAGGAAAATTAAACTAAAACAACGTTTTAATTGTTCCTTGATCATGGATGAAATGTGACGTGATGAAATATCATGCTAGCACTCAAAAGCAATATGGCTATGTCTACTACGAGTTTGATATTATTAACCGATAATTTCGATGAAGCCACTGACGTATTAGTATTTTTATTGCTCGATATAAACACAACGTGGAAAGTACCCATAGCCAACCTTTTGATTAAATTTTAATTATAATCTGAGTTTGATCAGCCTTTCAAAAACTGGCCATAAGTAATTATATTTATTAATAAAATCATAATTTTACATAACACTAATAAACAACCCTTCATTGCTGGCCGCATGAGGAAGCTCATAGTCATTCAGCGAACTACGGAGACGGCTATGCTCTGGGCTTTCAGAGAACTAGAGAGCCCGACATAGCCCAACAGATTAGTAAGCTGATGTGGCAGTGGACCGGCCATATAGTTAGAAGAATCGACAACTGATGGGGGGGGGGGAAAGGTTCTCGAGTAGCAGCATCGTACAGGTGGGTGAAGTGCTACCCCCCGAATATACAGGTAAGACATGCAGGAAATCGTTGGATGCAGGTGGATCAGAACCGTGCTTTGTGGCACCCCTTGATGAGGCCTATGTTCAGCAGCGGTCTTGTGAAGGGCAAATGTGAAATGAGAAAATAAAAAAAAGTAAAAAATTCAAGTGACTTGTAAAAATGAAAAAAATACTAAAAATAACTTTTACCAACGTAGAACTTATGCGGACTATGATGATTTGTTTATCGATAAACAATATCGACATAGTCCCCGCATTACGTTGCTTACGCATGTAGACAGCAGCACCAGTGTATCGACACGTGTACAATTTGATGGTGTGCGTAATGCAATGAACACAAACCCCAATGATGTAGTGTCCGTGTATAGTGACGCGATCACAGAGTACTTTTTTATAAAGACGCGATTCAATTTTGCATTTGTAGTGAAGTACACAGTAGTATGTTTTTCTTGCGACCCCTGACATTGACAAACTTTCTGTTAAGGAATTAACGCGCATAGCATCTCCAGTTGGTTGAATACTCAAAGCACTAAGCTTTAATTACCAAGTTATTAAATTTTGTATGGTATGTATTCCCATAAAACCTTCATTCATCAAAAAAAACAAGCTTTTAAATGTAGCATAACCCTTTCATCCACTTATATTTTCAATAACATGATCATATTACCAAATATAACTTATAAAAATACAGGTCATTAGCATAATTTTACCTTAAAATGATTCGCTCAATATAAATTAGATAAGATTGTAAGGTCTCATACCTTTGTCTACTTTTGTTGACGAATTGTATAACAAATAACAACAACAATATTGTCATGAATGTCACTTGTCAGCTTGTCAGTAAACTTTTTTTAGCTTGAGTTAGAATAAATATGCAATAAACAAATATTCTTGTGGCAATCTGTTATTTTAATACAGTTTTTATAAATTAAGAGCTCTTTAAAATAATGGAAGTGAACGGTGTAGTTCTATGTGATAATCTAATCAAGTGGTTACAGACATTAAACCTTACCGCAAAACATGAAAATCCATCAGGTGAGACCTGGGTGAGACTTTCTAACGAAATATAATAACTCTATTGAAATTTTTTTATTTTTATTGCAAGAAGAACAAAAAACTAGTTTCCAAATGCATTTTGTTTCTGTCTGCCGCTCTGCAGCTCTGTATTCACTGTTGTGCTCCGGTAAGGGCTAGTATAATTGCAATACAGATTATAAGGCATTCCATCTTAATCCTCAAATCTGACAACATATCGACAGCCTGCTTTGTTTATATTTGTCTGCAGATGACAATTAGCAACGAGCTGCATTACCTGCTTACTATCAAGTTTTCTACAATCTTACACAATATCCTTGAATTAAAACTTACATTAATACTTATTATAATTTTCACAATCCAGAGTTATCAGATGGTGTGGCTATCGCTGAAGCTCTTACTCAAATTGCACCTGAATATTTTACATCTTCATGGATTTCCAAGATTAAAACAGATGTTGGTCATAATTGGAGATTAAAAGTCAGCAATTTAAAGAAGATATTGGAGGGTGTTGTGGGTATGTATTTTTATTTCTATTAATATATATATATATTAGCTTACCAGGCAGACGTTGTTCTGCCCTTTTCGACAACCTATTGAAAACAATCCTATTAAAAATCCTTAAATTCGCAATAAAAAATATGTGGTTCACTCATGGGTAAAAAAACTATCCTATTTCTCAAGTTGGACCAAACTGCACATGGTGTGCAAATTTGATTAAAATCGGTCAAGTAGTTCAGGAGTCCATCGTGGACATACAACATGTCACATAATTTATAAATATTAAGATATATATTATATATAAGTGTATATACTTCCCAGATGGTCATATTTTAATTTTTTCAAAATAGGTTGAGCGGTTTTAAAAAAATCCACAATAAATTATTTTATTTATATTGAAGTTGTATAAAATTTTTAATTTTACCACTTGTAACCATCAAAGCAGAAATGAAAAAGGTGTGAAGATGGGTACCACATTTGTTGACTGCAGAACAATAACTCAACTAGGATGAAATCTCAAGGGAGAATCTGGCATTGTTTCCATAAAAACTAGACTTTTTAAAAACCACTGATGACAATTCATCACTATATTCCTGAGACACAACAACAGTCGGGTTGGATTTAGAATAATTTGTTAGGAATTTGGAGGAGTAGGGTGTTGTATTTTGTAGAGATTTGGTCCCCGATTATAATAATGTAAGGTAATACACTGTTTTCGAAAAAATTAAAAAGAAAACTATTATAACATAAAATGGGTAAAACATGGAAAAACAAATGCAATTGAATTGCAAAAAATTACTGTAAAAGCTTGATAGCATACAGTGAAAAGTCTATATAATTACACTCAAGGGACTGCATATTTTGATGTTGTTGTCAAATGGAATTTAGAAATATCTGTATTACAACCACTTTTTCGTCAATACACAGTGATTTTCTCTTACTAGCCATGTTTACAGTTTTAAAGTCTGTGAGCAACTAGGATATGATAACGTTTAAATAATCCATGACTCCTAGTAACTACAGTCTACATGTGCATGCAATTAAAAATTTTAAATAAAAAACGGATTTTTTGATTTCTTACAGTTTAAAATGTATGATGCTGACAGTCGAGTTTATTACGGTCAGGATAATAAGCAACAAAAGAACATACACAGCTATGCAGTTTTTATTAATTTTTGCAACTTAAACAGTACTTTTTATACTTAAACAGTACTTTTTATTATTAGGATGTTGAGAGTGGTTGTAATGCTATATAGAGGGTATCATTGTATGGAAGACAAGCTAAACCAACCAAAGCTGAGTGATTTCGTCGCTTTATGGAGTTTGTCGTTAAATCGTAAGACGTTACATAGAGTTTACACTCTATATAATTTTGTATAAGTGCAAAAAGGACGTCAGACTAGTGTCACATATTATTATCCTTCTATGGTATTTTCATTCTTCTGTACTGTACTTCTATATTATTATGTTTACAAACAATTAAGAAATGCTTATTACATACTGTTGGCGACGCGCCTATAAAAATGTTTCAGTTTATTAAATCAACCGATGACGTTGCTATGAAAAAAGGGGCAGTCACGAGCAACGACGCTCTGATAAGAGAATGCTTAGTTAAATCTTTAAGAAATGTCGAATTAATGATATGAAGGTCTTGGGTTCGACTCCCAGGCCGGACTAGTTTGTTTGTTTTCCTAAGTAATATCGCTTAATAAATTCGTAAGGAATTTAAGATATAAATTATGTTACCGGATTTGTTCCCCGGTTGAAATCATCTTTCAAATGATGTAAATTCATAAGAATATTAAAGTGAAGTTAAAGATCGGATTTGTTCCCCGGTCGAGATAATCACTCTGTGCATAGGCAGAATTAATGGATATTAATTGCATAAATGTTGTTTTGTATAAGTTTGATACGTTTTGTACGAAAACAAATGCCTATTTGTTATGATTGATTAATGAGAACATTCATTTATATTGTTATCTGATTAAAGATAGTTTCATACAGTTCGAAAATTGTATAAAAGCATTTAATTTGCCTAATATGGTCAAAATTGGTGTATTTCATAATTTAATTTTTTCTGATAGCCGAGAGCCGTGCAAAGTTAGTTGTTCACATAGCGTGAGTACACAGAAGCACGCTGGCCACGCCCTTAGGAGGCCGAATATGTAAAAATTTAAAATGTTTGTAATTCAGTGATTTATGTAAAAATTACTTGTAAAATATTTCAGGTTAATTGTACGTGCTAAAAAAGGTAAATTCTGTGTTATTTTCATGTGAAAATTCCTGTGTATAAGTGAAATAATGATAGTTTTGTATAAGAAATTTAAAAGTGTTTTAAATAGTGAAATAAATAGAAAAAATGTAAATTAAACTATTGTATTGGTTAGCTTATGTATAAATTCAAGTGAGAAACATTGTTTTAACTTTCTGTGTTAAATATTTAAGAAATTTCGATTTCGAACTTGTGAGTAAAATAGGCAGTTTTCGTTTAATAAATAAAAGGTTTTTTATGATATGAAGATATGATGTATATCATGGTGTAGATATTGTTTTGTACTACCTATATTGATAAATTGTATTTGTATATGATTTGAATAAATAAAGATATTGAGTAAAACGTGAGAGAGTAATAGAACAAATTCATGTAATTGAGTTGCGCAAGCGCGCGAATGGCGCGGCTCACTTTCGCGTATAGCTCTGGGGTAGCTTAGTGAACGGGTTTTATTGCAATTCGTTCGGGAAGTTCGGGAATCGTTCGGGAATCCTTCGGGGAAGTTCGGAAATAGTTCGGAAATAAATAAGAAAATCCGAGAAAAAGTTCAAGAAAAGTGAAAAACCAGCAGTATAGGGAAAAGTGATTACTCTCTCACGGAACGGTTTGAAGATAATTGCTGTTTCATTCCCAAGATCCTTTAAGTTATACAGTCCACATCGAAGAATTAAGGCGTCGGGACCGGGACGACTTCGGAAGACCCGTAATCCCCGTCTGAACCTACTTGCTGAAAAGGAAGAGGTTATCGCCCTAGTGTGTTACTCCGTTGCGGAGATCACATACGTTGTTCCCGAACCCAACGTAGGCGTGATAGGAGGCCGGATCGAGAGAAGCCTCGATTCCTGTTTCTTAGTACCCGATCCGCTAGGTCCTTTTCAATTGGTCCTTTTCAGGATCAAGAGGGACGCCCGAACCTGAGTTCCTTTTCAATTGGACCTTCGGAGCCGGATCGAAGACCACCCGAACCCCGCCAGCTGGATCAAGGAACCAGCTGTGGACTGCTGGTTGTGGAAGAAGAAGACCTTCGGAAGCCGAGTGAAGATCAGCAACCGAAGGAAGCCAGAGGTTTGAGCTGAAGCAATAGGACCAAAGGCCTGAAGACCAGGACGGCAGCACTGAAGGGCTGGACCTGGAACTACCGGAAGAAAGAAAACCGGGATTGCAGCTTGGGGCGTGTGCTCGCATGGGGCACATATCGCAGCCGGGCGCAGGTGTCTTGTGAAGGCACTCATCGTGGCCAAGCAGGGCTTGGCATTTTTCCTGTCGGGCAAGCGTGCTCGGCATTTCCTGTCAGACGATCGTGTCTGGCATTTCCTGTCGGACGACCGTGTCCGGCATTTCCCGTCGGGTCATCAGGGTGCAAAAAGCATCCACCGCTGCTGCTGCCGGGCGAGGGTGCGCGTGGGCACCTGACTGCATCGCGGCCGGAGGAGGGCGCTTGGACGAGGCGTCACCGGCAACTGGGCGGCGAGCACAGCATACATCCCGACCACCTAACGGTGCCAAACGGTTGGGCTCTGGCATAACACCTTCGGGTGGAGCAGTTCTCTCGAGCGAGACTGCGCTTGCACTACCGCTCGACTGTTTCGTCATATTCCTTGGCGGGACAGTTCCTAAACCTTTCCTCCATTCCATTCCTGCACGACTCCATCCCTGGACGGCTCACCTCGGTAGGCCCCGTTCAGGATTGATAGGGCTGATAGGGCTGTTAGGGTGGTAGTAGGGTTGTAGGGTTGGGAGATAAAGGGGGGAGGGGTAGTGGTGTTAGGTTGGGGTGTAGAAGGGGTTGTAGGGACTGTAGGGACAGTTAGGGACCGTAGGCCAACAATCACCTTCCTGCAAGATGAAGAAGGCACAAGACCAGACAGGGAGAAGCGAAGGGAGCAGGACAAGGACAGGGCTCTCAAGAAAAGCTAAAGAAGCGGAATCATCTGGAGCGACCACAGCTACTGCGTCAAATGGAGCAACTCCTCCAAGTGGAGCCACCACAGACACGTCCACATGCACGTGGGACTCAGGGACGTCCATGGCAACGACGAGCAACAGGACGGACACCAGTGGTACACAGGCCAGCACCGCACAACAATCCGTTATATCCAGGAGTGAAACGGTGGTCGAAAAAGTAGGTCAAAGGACCGAAGAAGCGGCATCGTCAAGGACAGTAATCGGGCACACTAGTGATAAAGGGTCACAGAGAGGTAGTAGGTCATCGCGATCGGCGAGGCTGAAAGCCGAATTAGAGGCGCGGATTAAATTCGAACGCTCAGAGCTCGAACGAGCACAGGCAGCTGCTGCCTTAGCCAAGTCTCAATTGGAGTTGGCACGACTCAACCGAGAAGAGGAGATCGACTCGAGTGAGGATGGTGAAGAGCGGAATACTCAGGTGGAACCTTTCGTAAGGAGTTGGGTTCAGCAAACCATAATGAGCGCGCCGGTTAGTGTAGCACAACCCGATATTACTGATAAGGAAGCGTGTAAAGGATCACGCCGCAAAGGGGCGGAGGTCGAGCGCAACCTAGGAAATGCACAGAAAACACACGCGAGTGAGGTGTCAGAATTGACCGAAGCGATTGTGAGTGCAATAAAAATAGCTGGTAAAGATAAATCTTCCCAGCTTCATTTCCTCCAGGAATTACCGGTGTTCGATGGAGACCCGGGTGAATGGATAATTTTCAAAACGGTGTTTGAAGACACAAAAGGCCAATTTTCAGGGGTGCAAAATGTCGCACGCCTTAGGAGGGCAT